GGATCCCTCGGCAGACGGGGGGTGTAACCAGAGAGTTCTCCCCCAGCACATGAGGGGTTATCCTGCCAGCACCCTGGCCAGCAAAGGGTTAACCCACCCCACAGTGCTTTGCAAAAAGGCTTCCCCTTTCCTCAACTGGGATGCAGCTGCTTCTGGGGTGGAACTGCAGAAGCTTATGGGTTAACTCATAAGGGTGCCAGCTAATAAAGGGTTAATACAAGCCCCCCCCCCCCCCCCCCCCCCACCAAATAGGGGATCAGACCACCCCCCCCAGCCAATAAAAGATTAATGCAAGCACCCCGCTCCCCGCCAGCGAGGGGTTAATATAAGCTCTAGCTCTCCCCCCACCCCAGGTGCCTTCAAGTCACTGGACAAGGAGGGCAACGGGCAAATCCGCGTGAGCCTCCAGGAGGTGAGTGGCATCTGCTTCTGGGGCGGAGCGCACAGTCGCTGTCTGCACGGAGCCCACCCCCCACCCGCACTCCTCCCCCTGCCCTGGAGCTGGGGTGTGGGTTTAAGAAGGGGCGGGGGGTAGAGCTAGAGTACAGGGCTGCTCTCCAGGATGCCACGAGCTCCTGCCTCAGTTTCCCCATCCACCACATCCATCATCTGTATCTCTGTCTCAGCCGCCGGGGTCTGTACAGCACCCAATTTTGGCTTGGGGGTGGTCTCTACACCACCCAGTCCCTCCCCCACCTGATGCCAGCTTAGCTGGCACCCTGGACTCCTGGGTCCTGTGCAGGGGCCCGATCCTGCACCCTCTCTAACTCCCTCTGTCTCTCCCCCACAGTGGCTGCAGCTCACCATGTACTCCTAAGTGCTGACAGACCCCGCTGTGCCCCCTGCGCTCCCCTGTCCTCCTGCTGCCTCCCCCCCGGACCCGGGTCGCCCCATGGGTCCTAGCTGCCGGCCCCGTGCCGGGCGCTGTACGTGTGGTTCTCTCTGCCAGGCATGGGGGTTTCTCCCGCGGATCTTGCGCCCCCCCCATAAGCTTCTTGGGGGCAGGACAAGGCTCACTGTCAAGGACGCGTGGGCCGGTGGCAGAGGGGGCCGGGGGGCCGTGTGCCAGCTGCCTGCCCCCCACCCTGGCTGTGTTTTCTACTGCTCTGTAGGAAGGATAATAAAGGTCTCCGATAACACGTCCGCCTCCGTGCCTCTGCTGCCTGCGCCACCGGGGCTGGCTCTGGGGTGGAGCCCCCCCCAGCCTGCCTGTGGGGGGGGGTTGTCTGAACAGTGCCTGGCACCTCCTGGTCCTCGTCTGGGGGGATCTGGCACCCCTCGATCTCAGCTCAGGGGGGCTCTACAGTGCCCGGTGCCCCCTGATCCCAGCCGGGGCGGGGTGTGTACATAACAGGGTCCCCGATCCCCGCTGGGGTCTGAACCAAGCGCCTGTGCCTCAGTTTCCCCCCCTTTGCAGCCAAGCAACTGTTAACCCTTTCACTGCTGGTGGTAGGGGGGTGGGGGGCTCTTCTGCGTGCTGTGGGGACACAGGAGAAGGAGTTCCCATGGGCACGGACCCCCCTGCCATCCCCCCCCAAGGCTCAATGGGCTCCGGCCCCTCCCAGTTCATGGCCCAGTTCTTCCAGCCAGATGCCTGGGTTTGTTCGCAGCTGCTCTGTGGGGGCCTGAGCTCCATCCCAGTGTTGGATGGGGCAGGGGCGGGGGCTGGGGGGGCACTGTTGGCATCCTGTATCTGGTTGCCAGGCAGGTTGCTGGGGGCACTGTCCCAGGACAAGGGGGTCCAAGCCACACCGTCGCTCATACCAGGATGTCCAGGTTGCCTTGGTTACCTGGTGACAGGTGAGTAGGGGGCGTTACCCTTCCTAGTGACCTGGGCACCTAGTTGCCTAGGATACAGTGCCAGATGACTGTGCCAGGCAGGTTGCTGGGGTTACCTCGATGCCCAGGTGCCCCGCCCCCCCCTCAGGTTACCAGGGTTACCAAGATGCCCAGGTGCCCCTACCAGGTTGCCAGGGCAACCGTGCCCAGCCACCTGACCTGTTGCTCTGGGCCCGTTGCCCTGGTGATGGTGCCCAGTCTCCATCCTCCCTGCACCCTGGCCACGTCAGAGCCTGGAGGTTGCCCCTGGTAACAGCATCCCCAAGTGGGTGGGGGGGGAGTGGGTACCAGCCCTGGGGGGGGCCTGTCTCCCTAGCCCCTCCCCTTCTTTACCCTGGCAGCCAATGGGGAAG